GTTGTGTATTACTTCTCACGTTTCTGATAGTGGTTTTTATTGAAAATGCAAAGTAGATGCCAAATCTATTTAAAAACAGGAAGATATGAATGTAAATTAATTATGAGGTTTCGACGGTATTGTACGTTATTTATAACTAGATTACGGTCGCTTGGGTAACGTTAATAAATTAATTGACTCACAAATAATCTGTTGTACGAAACATGCTCCATATTTTTAAGTTTGTATATATTTTCATCTCAAGCGCTCTGAATTATAATTTGCATCGGTCGGTAATAAAACCATTACACGTGTCGCCAGTTATTTTCAGTAACTCGACTCGGATGTATAAATTACGGAAAGAATTGCACCGGTTCCTGCGAATAACGTTTCCGCACCCGAGTTTCCTCAATTTCGAGCACGCAGACGCGCGTGCACGTACCGCCCGCTTTCGTACTGCAGTCGTGCAATTTCCTTCGACTTCACGATAAAGCATCCACATCTCGCATACGCATACGAAAGCTGGAGGTGGCGAAGATGTTGGATGTTCAGAATGCATACATTGTGTACGAGGCTCTGAGCTAAATAAACCCGTTATCCTTTATTCTCAAGAATTACGATCTCCTTGTTAAGCTCGCCTTAAGGCTTCCTTATCATTTGACCATCATCTATGATACTCTTCTTTCATACTTTGCTATACAACTACAGCAGAGATCAGAAAAAATTGCTTTGTAAAAATGTTGTATTCTAAAACCATTTTTGCATCCTTACCAGTTATTTTAAATATTGGACATAGCTTTTTTTTATCATATTTCTTAAGTCTTGGCAGAGATTTTTCGACTCATACAATTGAAAAAGTTAAAATTCATATTTCATGATCTTTAAATTATTCCAAGCAGTGGTTTTAATGAGCGCTAGACGATTATTAAATTCGATACAGTTATTGATCGTTCCGCTTTTATTAAATTTTTGTACCATTTTTCCAACGGTTTTATTAAAAACGTTTTCTCAAGTCGCTTGTGCCCCGGTGATTACCGGAGAAAGGGATGACGTTCGTAACGGTGAAACTCGTTTCTCTTCGTTTTCCGTGTCCCGTTTAGAAGTATCTTTTCCCGGTGTCCATTTCCGGTTGATACCTCTTCGCCGCGGAGCGCATTTCACGTGTCAACAAAAGAGAAATCGTCCTTTGTCAGCAGCAGGGAGTCGAGGCATGGAAAACTTCTAGACGCTTCTCCTTTCAAGCCTTATGGCTTCGAATCTCGGTGGATGCAATAAACGAACGCTAAACCGTGGTACCTGCTATAACTCATCTGTCATACTATTTCATTCTAACTCCGCGACCATCGACTAGTATCAAGGGCTTCCCGTGCTATTTTTTTTTTTTATCCAGAAATAACGGAGCATGATTCATGCAAGGAGAAACTTACAAGTATTGCAGAATGTGGTAAAAATAGAGAAAAGGTAGCATGTATCATGGGAAGTTATAACTCTAGTATACCGAATTGTGTACCGAACAATATCCCGCGTGCTCTCGCATTCGTTCAAATGACTAATTGCCCTGGCTCCGCTAGGCGCTAATTACATACATATAGTGGAATTACAGCGCATCGTTAATCAGAAGGCTCGTTGGAAGGCGACGCAATATCAGTCAATTAAAAGTTCTTCTGCCATGTTTATAAAAAGTGACTACGACATTGTTATGAAGAAATGACAAATGAATTTGGCTGGGGATCGAGGTCCGTCATTCTTTCTCCGATTCTTTGGGATGTTCGAACGGATATATTTAATTGCGAACAATGTGAAGCGTACAATGGCAGCGAGTAGAATATTCCTGGTGAATAGTTTCACGCGTGATAAAGCGAGCTTCTACCCGTTTCTGCCGACGTTATCGTCGAGTCTATCGAATATGAAAAGCTGCTCGATAACAAACTATTCAACGGACGGTGTTACGAGGCATTGGATACAATAACTGTGGGCGCGTCTTTTGTAACAATTATTTTATCTTGTGTCAATGGTTTTAGATTTTATGAAAAAGTTCTGGAAAATATGAGTACATTTAATTACGTTAACAAGACTATTCATTCGACGTTCATTAGCTTTGTGAAACACATATTATTGTATACCAGCCAACCGAATACTTTCAAGACTTTTTGACAACATGAATAAGTATTAGTTTACTTTAAATCTCAATTCTTATCGACTCTGCCAGCGTACCAATTCTTATACGGTCCATTATAACGCGTTAATAAATCCAGCCATTCAAACACTCTGATTGTAAATCTCTCAACTGAATTACGGGGGAAACGGGAGTATCGAATTTATAAGCAGACATTGATTCTCTGTGGAAAACTGGTATCGATGTTATACGTCTAAGAAATCGCAATAAACAAATCTCGTCGGGAATTTATTTCGATTTCGGCGTCGCCATAAATCTCAATGGCTTGACGTCCGTGTGAGTTCGCGAGCTCAGAGGATCGAGGGTAATAAATTCGTGAAACATTCGAAGGTTATCGATTCCTTGTTTCCATCTTTTTTCTCTTGCTTTGCCCACTTCCTGCCACTGTTATCGTCGCGTTTCTTTCTTCTGGAAAAGGGTAGTCGGATCGTGAGCGATAAAAAGCGACGGCTCAACGCGCTGTCAATCGTTAAAGGGCGTTCCACGTGAACGAAAAGATAATGTTCCTTCTTCTTCCCTTCGTTCGACGTTCGTTTCGCAGCTAGCATCCGGGTAGAAAGAAAGCAACGGATCGTCTAGACCAGTCATCGATCGTCGAAGTCGAACGAACGTCATTATTAATTTCGCCCTGGGTGCTCCATTATGAATCTCTCCTCCGCCCCTCCGATCAGTAATTCACAATTAAGGGTAATCGATCGTTGAAGTTGTATCTAGGTTCGTTTGAGCTTCCACTAATAAACAGACGCGAAGCAAAACGTTTATTAAACTTCGATGCCAGTTTTTAATCAATCATCGAGCCTGTGTTCGCTACTAAAACTGTATATTCGATTGTTTATTACTCGAGTAACGTTGAATATTTAATCGGGGAACAATTAATATACTGTTTGACCATTAATATTCGCTGCACTGCCGCACTTTCACATCTAAATTGGAACTATAATGCAATTACTTACCGTAGTCAATAAACTAAGAGGCCAAGCTTTTGCAATAAAGCTGGCAGACTATCGCCCTTTTAAATTTTATAACCAATCCTCGATGAGACTTCTCAACGATTATTTTTATACGTGAAACAATTTCATTTCTAGTTCACTTTATAATAAAGAAATATACGTTGAGAAACGATCTGACCGATCTAACAATAGACCATCCATTCTGTCTGATAATCGAATTCCCCAAATGAAGATAAATAATTCGATATTCAACCGCATGGATATTTATGAATTTGAAAACATGCAAATAAATATGAATCGAGAAAATAGGAGATAATCCACGCGCTACCATTCTTTATATTCATTTCCATGATTCCATGAGATCCAATATTCCATGAGAATTGAAGACCTCACAAAGCCTCGGATATCTTTTTTCATCCGTAAAACGGCGCCGTGAACATCTCTATTCCCCCTCCGAGTAACTTGTTTTGCATCTAAATGACAGCATTTCGCGACGCTGCTACCTGCGTACCAGCTATTACACATCATCGACGCTGCAACGATTTTCCGTCGCTCTACACGTATCATCACGTCGTTGCCTGAAATCTATTTCCACCGCGTTCCGTTTTTACTTAGGGGGATCTCTCACCGCGCGTGGATTCGCCAAAAGAAGCTCGACGAATTTTCTCCGAGACACGACCCTCGCTCGCGTAAAAAGCTCTCCCACAGCCGGAGAACAAATTTCCAGGTTGATTCAGATATATCTCTCAGAATCGATGGGATGTAAAAAAACATCCGAGCTCGTTTGGAGAGCTACGAATCCTATATTTATATTTCGTCTTGAACGTTCCGCGCAAACCGGATTGGCGATCCGAGAGAAAATCGGAAGAGAGCTCTCGTTACGAGGATTCGGTCGAGAAGCTTTTTCCAGCGTTTTAAGGAGATCCTCACACGCACGATTTAACTCGCATCCTGAGATTGATCAGCGACGATACAACGTATAGTATATCCGCTCGTGGCTTGAAGCGAAGCAAAACGAAAGATACACATTCCTGTATCGATTCGTCGGGACGACGGTGTCGGTGGTTCTCTTTTGCTTGTGATACGGGAAGCTCCTTTCGGTGCAGCCAGGAATGTCGCGCGCCGAACGACTCTGAAATTCCTTTTCTCCTGGCTTCTATACCCCTTCAGGCTTCTACTTTGACTGAAACCGTGGTTTACATTCAGTGTGCGCTACGGAAAAGAATTTTCGCTTTGAAACATTGAAAATTATTTAACTATTTATTTTCATCAAAGCTTGCATCGAATAATGTATTTTATAATCTACAATTCGTACTCTGTTGTATGGCAATTAGGAAGCAGCCAATAATAAATTTAATTAAACTTATGCATGCAAATTGGCAATTTGTTAAAGTACTTTATATGCGATTAAAATAAATCTCAATTTCCACAATAAATATAAAAGCGTATGGAGAAGATTGTACGATAAATCCCAATTGGCACAATGAATGTAAAAGTATACGTAGGGCATATAAAATAAATGTTAAAGCATTCGCTGATGAACAGAATGATTGGACAATCAAGCGCGGAAGGAGGGTGCGTCAGTGGGCCTAGCAAAAAATATTTTATTACCGAGCTTCGGTGGCCGCCATCAGGAAACCAATAAATTTTCTTCTCCCGGAGCCTGTCCCATGCTAAAAGCCGTCCCCTTGGTTCGATCCATTTGGCTCCTCGTCGAAAGTGTATCCATCCCATCGAACGTACTCCATTAACAAGGATATATAAAAAAGGAACTGCGATTTCTATCGCGGCTACAAAAGGGAAACCGTTCGATTCGCCGGGCTGCTTTGCATTTAAGAAAGAAATTCGTTCGAGTCCTTGATAGTCGTTTCAATTCTGTTCTCTTTCTGTTTCAGTTTTTCACCGAGGGAAGACATGACAGGAATATCCAGGATGTCGGTAAGTGCAATACGTCTTGCACCTGTTATTTTTCTTAAAACATCCTCCATATAACTCGTTACATTCCATTTCCGTTACGCGTCGTATGCATTCTATATCATACATGCATTATTATAACAGGTGTTGTCATATATCCTGCGAATTCGAGATTGTTCCAGTCTTTCTTTGGCTAACTTTAACTGCTTCACGCGGTCCTTTACCCAGAAGCTTCGTTTCTCGTTGCGTGTTCGGCGGTGGCCGCGTTGCATTGATTTTTCCCTTGGTTCGTAGACCCTGAACGATCCCTAGTAAATTCGCGCGATGCACTCAGGGAACGCCCACAGTAGTAGGTACCGCGTGAGAGCGTTTTATACTCCGAGAAGCCAGCACCTTCTCGTACGTGCATACATACACGTACGTTGTTCGTGCCGCATAAATTTCGCCAAGGATTGAAGCAAAAATCGTGACTCCTCCCGTTATTCTCATATCTACCCTTGTCATTGCCACATGGTTCCGCCGCGGCAAGAATTAATCGCATGTAAATCCACGTTTGCCGACCAGTTAAGTTTCATTCCAATTTCAGTCCAACTGGACTGTTTATAAAGTTAATTTCCGAAATGTTGAAGATGAACAATTTTTGTCAATTTCGTTTCAAACAGCCTGTCGACGTAGAAATATTTTCAAAGTATAATTTCAATCGGATGTTGTTTTGCAAACTCAATTTCCTCGGTTCATTTCTCCTGACTGGCAATTTCGATAGGAATACGGATAGACTTCGGACATCGATAACAATATAGTGATAGGGAATGATTAATGCGTTCGAGGCGAGGCCGAAGCTTTTCAGATGCAACTAAAGGGTTCCGCGAATCTCGGACCCTTATCTCCGGAAGCCAGGTCATTGCCTGGGGTCACGCAGCCCTTCGAATTTTCAGCCGATGAATCGCGTACGGCCGCAATTTCCTTATCGCAAGAACCCATTCGTTTCGCTCGCTGATCCTTCGCAAGGGGCATACAATCGTTTTCAGCGCGGGAATAGGAAAAGCTGGTTCAAAACTGGGTACCCGATTACAACTAGAGTACCATTGTTTTTCTTAGGACAAAAGCTGCGACCTGCAACGAACGACTAGCGATTGGACTTGTGGTGTTATTAGATCGGTCATAGGTCAGAGCACGTGTTCATAGTAGAGAGTCTTGAAAATCTTAAGTGTCACAGTTAAAATATTTCACTCTATCATCAACTGACGGAGAGATAAATTTTGAAATTTTTAAGACGATTTAGGCCGAGTTTAAATATTCTAAATAAAAGAGAGTCACTTGTACGAGGAATAAATATTTGCAAAAATTTACGGAGGTGGAAGCGTATGAATTTTCATCGGTGAAAAACGATGCATATTCGATTGCGGAGACGAGCCAGCGATCGATAGGCTCGTGGAACGGAAACGGACGCCGGGCGTGTTTGGTACAGGCCATTGATCAGAATGAGCGATCGTTTCTGCAAGGGAAACGGCCGCGTCTTACTGTAATGTTAAACGACACGACACCCCGCACGGGTTTCTGGCTCGGTTTCGTGGATGCAAAGAATACCGAATGTCGGGAATATTTCTTCGCACCTCCGGCACCGCAAAAATAAACCCCGCGCATTTTCTTTGTAAACGAAGCCGAACGCTCCAGTTGTCTATTATTAAACGTTACTTACTAGCGAGCGCGAACGCGAGACAACGATCTAATTGTTTGCACGCGCGATTCATTGTAACGGCCCGTGAGCATTCGTTCTCGGCCACATATACATTTGCATACATTTCTGCCGTCCATATGTACCAGTTTCATTGTCGTTCATTATATCGAGACCGGTCGCACTCTCAAATTGCATAGGGAAAATACGTTGCACATAACAAAGAAAATAATAACGTTTTATTTTGTTGATAATGAGTAAAACCTTTAGTAATTTCTTTTTTACGTGCGTTTTATATGGGCGTTTTAATTGGGTGAAATATGCATGAGCAAAACTTGGGTTGATGTTAATGATCAAAAAAATGGCAGTGACGGTACATGAGTTAATGGAAACGTGTACACTACGCATTTAACAAAGACGAGTAAAGTTTGGCAAAGCTTGGAAATCCCGGCGAAACATTTGACAGCTACTTCGAATAGTAGTTCGTTTCGCGAAGATGGAAAAAGAAACTTCAATGATGAACGAGGCAGGGAGGAAGTCTGTCGCCGGGCGAAACTTTCATCGGATGATTTAATTTGACCGCAGCAGCGGAACGCCGGAAACTGGAATGCAACGGGAAAAAAGAAAGGGGAAGGCATAATCCAGTTGGCTGTCGGGGAATTCCTTTGCCCTCTTTAGCAGCCAATACAACGGTGCCTCCTCGGAGACACGGGTCAACCGAGCGGTGGTCAGGTTACCCTGCCGTAGCGAGTCAACGGTGTTGAACTTTTCACGTACCGGAAAATATATACTGCATCGAGGAAAATCGCCTACTCGAAGACAACGGGACTGGAGCGACAGACCTGTAGAATATTCTATGTGCACTTCGCGTCGAGTTGCTTGTTTATGCATTCACTACTTGCAACACGTCTGACGCGAATAATTCGTTGCCAAATATGTGATGGATTCCATTTTCAAAAGATCTGACATTTAGAACTCGCAACGCTCGATCCTTCCATATTTTAAACTTCAATTTTCAAAAGTACACACGTGCACACAGCTGCATTAGATTATCGGAATACAATTTCATTTTGAATTCAGTTGCCGTTGAAGATACGATAGAATTTCGGTTATCAGAATTAATAAGGAACTACTTAATTCGATGTATCTCAAAGGATTTAAACAGAACAGCGTACAGATTAGAACATTCGGATCGAGAGGGTAACCTTTGCACTATAACTGACGTTGAATAATTAAGTAACGAACTAAGATGAATCACGAAGCATGGGAACGGTCGATCTGATTACACCGTGTTTGGACAATCAGCCATTCGGATATCGACGGTGCGCAGCCTCGAAGGGAATTGTATGAAAACAGAGAGGACGTACGGGAACGAGCGTTGCAATCGATGTTGCGCAAACAGTGGATTTGGAGCTTGCAGCGGGCCAGGTGCCTTTCAATTTGCTTGCAGCCACCAATCTCCTTCGCGTAGCGCGCGCTCTTCAGTAGCTAAAGTGGCGCATGTTACTTCGTAAACAAATCGAAATATAATTGATGCATGTTTGCCGTCGCTTCGTATACTTGCCGGTTCATTTGATAAGTCATCATGAGAAACCAACAATCGCGTTGCTCAGTCACGCGATACGTCTCGCGTCGAACGTTTAAGCACTTTTTTCTTTTCATTGCCTCATCGAATAAAATTATTTTCCGTTATTAATTCAGATTTAGTTTGACTCTTTTTATACATCATTTAGTTAAATATTAATATATGACTGTAGTGATAGATATTAAAAAATATGTTCTGCTGCAATTTGAAATAAAACATATTAACATGATGTATTTTAATATTCGTACTTTGGTAACGAATATCCCTACATTTGTACCATTTTTTTTATATACATTAATGTCTGACTTCTGTTATCTACCTAATTTAAGACAAATGGAAGCATGATGAAAGGAAATAAAATGATTGTGAATCATCCGGTAATTCTCTAAAACTTAACGAGATTGGTAATCGTAAGTTACACGACAGCTGCGAACCTGCCCATAGGCTTATTAGTTAATAGCCGAGTGATTATCACCTTGCGAGCTCGCTATAATGGCGTTCCTGCTCAATTAATCCTAATTAACGGTAACGGCTTGCGTGGAACAGTCCGACCACAATTCTCCGCTTCCAAGGTTTTAATTGCACGCAAAGTGGATAAGTCATTCGGGGAGTACGAGTTTTACCAAAAAAATTTCACATGGCTCCTCTAAAATATTCATACTCCGTTTCTGCAAGTTAAACGTGATACCAGTATGCAAATTTTCGGCGTCGACTCGCGAAAACCCGCTCAGACTGTGTTTAAAATTATACCTTAACCGGGCAGAGACGCACTGTTCCGTTTCACAGCGTAGTCGGCGTAACGTGAATTCTCGACGGGTCTGATTGATCGCGGAAGTAGAAAGTCGATGTGCCATCGTAGGAAATCGACGAGCATCGCGGGGAAGGCAGACCGTCGGCCCGCGTCGCGTCGTGCTAATCTAATTAGTAATTAGAAGCGCCGGTCCGTAGACCTTCGTTAGCGTGAGGGACGAATCTCGTAGAAAATGCTCTTCTTCCCTGCGCTTCTCCTTTGACTTCTCCTATCGGTGTACTGAAACGCGATCACGGCGGAAGTTCCTGCTTTAATTTGAACTCAGCGAGCTTTTAAATAGTTTTGCTACTCTACAACCTCCTTGAGTACGCGGGCTTCAGGCGATTTTAGCTCCTCTCTTTTGAAGACAGGAGATAAATTTTTGCATGAAATTAAATTTCCAGCTGGGACATCTGGTCGTAAGGAAACTCGAAGAGCATTTAAAAACAATTCCATCTTTAATTTCAATTTAAATGCCATTCATAATCATAGGTGGAAAAACATCTCCCGACCTCGTGCATCATTTTCATGTTCCAGATTCATTTCTTCTCTGTTCTCATAGAATTACGAAATGACCCGCAGGGGAACCGTATAACTTAAAGTCGAAAAATCTACAAGAATATTATAGCAAACTGTTTGTCCATATCTATGAAAAATATTATAATTAATTCTCTCGAGCGGAGGAATAAATTAATTATGCTGATGGATAGACGCGACGGAGTCGATCGATTCGGTGATCGGTTTTTATCCCCGGCACAAAACCCACTGTGACTTGCTCGAATTTCAGAACGGTATTCCGACGCTCGCGACCACCGAGCATTCTCCTTCCTCTTCTTTTTTAACCGCTCGCGCTAAAAATGCGCGTAAAATTTCTCCCTTCTGTGTAATCTCCGAGCTGCGAGCAATTTTCCACCAGGGACACCCAGAAATTCGTGTAATTTAACTCTTAACCATGTAGCAACGCTGTCATTTGA